AGTTCAAATAGTATTGCTGCAACATTATATGTCGGCAAAATCAATGCAAATAATGCTCGGTTCATACATCAAATACATCTTACAGAAATTTACTAATGTCGTAGTTCTGCTTTATCACTAACTATTTTTTGTGTAAATTTACAGGCGGGTCAGCGGTGCTGGGAGGAAGGACTTGGCACATTCTCTGCTCAATACTCATCTGTTCAATTTTATGGAGGTTTCGCTAGAACAACACGCCTTTTTCTAACTTTTTTGTAGAACTTTTTTAACGATAGATTGAGTAATCTATTATTGTTTTACTTGTATGCACGGCTGTTTCGGACGGAAAGGAAACAAGCATCGGGGAGTACCTTTTTATATGAAGTCACATTACTGCATCGAGTGACGTCACATGTTTTAAATCCTAAAGGAAGTGACTTAACATTGAAGTGCATATTTTGTATCACCAGTATAGCATTGTGTCTCTATCTACGAAGGAAAAAATACATTAATTGGTATCATTTTTTAAAAATACTGAGTATACACGATGTGATTTAATGTTATGTTCACATATATGAGGGAATGCTTTTGGTTGTTAGACAACTTTCAGTAGTATTTTGTTAATTTCCATTTTTAAATACAACATGTTGTCCACCTAACGGCGGGTAAAAACAAGAGTATTCACAATTATTGAATATTTTTTAATTCCCGGAAATTCGACATTCGTTTTAAATTTTAATAATACTTTATGTGTCATACATAGGTTGTGTGCCTGTTTTTTTAATATTGCGGCATTAACGAAAAATGTGGAATTTATTGAAATACGAATAACTTGCTGGGTGAACTATATTTACTAACGTTTTATAATATTCACTTACCCCATTTTGTTATTATCATAATTGTTTTAAAAGCTTTATTGTGTCCCACTATTAATACTATTTTCACTATATTGACATAACTTTATTTACTCAAGAAATATTTTTTTTTATCCTTGATGTAGTTCGACATGATAACGAAAATAAGTAAAATACACGAGTCGGGGTGTTAGATAATGGTTGTACATTTGTAATCACAATGATGTATCATGTTGTTTTTCAACTCAACTGTGACGTTTATGTGGCTACTGCCAACACGAAATAGAAGAACATATTAACAGCGACATATTAATTGCCAAAAACTTGCCAACGCACCCGCTAAAAAAATCTGGAACACTATGCCCTGCTATGTATGTTGCAGTGTAAAGGTATTTGAAAAGTGTATGTATTTCATGAGTGACAAATATTTAAATTAAAAGCATAACACGTTATATTTTATTTTTTCCATTTTTTTAATTTACGAATCATTAGAGAAACATGTTTGTGGCCTAGGGCGATTAATGATGTATTAGTTTAGACGAATTGAATTACAATTGCAGACATTTTAAAACTATATTTACATACACCTATAATTGAATGTAATCACATTTTGGCATTATTTGATATTTTGAACTGTAAAAGTTGCTGGTATAGTAGCGTGATTCATTACAGAAATGACATCATCTGATCAATTTGTAACTTTTTTATGCTTTTACTTTTGTGTATTTCCACCGAGATCCCACACTAGGATACGGTTTAGTATTATTATAACATTTTGATATACTTTATTTTATCATAAACAATAAGTTAATCCCATTAAATAATCAAACAATTTGAAATGAGAAATTGTCTTTTTAAATTGAGAAAAAAGAAAAAAAAATCATTTGCACTTGCGTCATATAGTAAAAGATTCCCAGATATACTATTATCAGTGGGATAAAAACAGTGTGCTTATGTAAGGCGTCATGATTTAGCGTGTGCGTGTGTGTGTGTGTGTGTGTGTGTGTGTGTGTGTGTGTGTGTGAATGAAATATTTATCTCTTAAGTAGTTTAAAGCGAGAGAGTCGACACCTGCGCACGCGCGGGAATTGAGTCCCAAGTGACGACTCATGGGTAGACGCTTGTTTGTAAACATTGATACGCTACGGCCATCTGACGCATGCGCAGGTGACGACTCCCCCCCTCAGATTTACAAATACAGCATGTTTCCCTTTATGTGTACTCCTTTTTTATGCGTTATAACCTCACACAGATACACGTTTGATTGTGTATTAAAATTAGTGATATGCAAAGTTTAGAAGAAAATTCAGCAGCGTGCGACATTGTGTATACTCTATAACACGTTGAAATAGCTGCATGCAATTTTAGCGGATTTGACTCTTGGCATGAATTAACAGAATCTTAATTTAGCTAAAGAGTCGACTATCTCATTGTGAGAATACACTTTATGTTAAATTAGCTGAATCTTGAATTAGCAAAATTACAGATTAGCTAAATTAGCTAAAATAACATGCTAGCTAAAAAGACATGATTTACAGTAGTTTTGGGTATTTACTGGAACAATAAGTAGTATACAATCAATGGTACAGCCGTCACATTAATGTATCAATAAATATCTGTCAAATCAGTGGAGCGTGTTTATCAATACCAGGCGACGACTAGTGTGACTTTCTTAACATTTAAAGAAATGAAGATCAGCCATGTTTATATTAATCATCGGCTACCCTGTCCTTCAATTTCAGTGAGTTATGTTTAGAAACAACTTTATTTTGAAAGCATTTAATTAAAAAATACAGACGGTGTTACAATCCAAATGTTGAACTGCAATGATGTTCGCTGTAATGAAGAAACAAATCACTGTTATGGTTTTGTATACACTATTAATAAAATATTTCTACTGCTCCATACCCATTTTTATGAACAATTAGAGTCAATAGAATAACTTTGTGGGGATTCCAAAACAGCATATCACAACACTGATTGCTTGTATCAATTTACAATACCTTATTAATAACAACATCAGATAATTATGTACAAACCTGTATGTTTTATCAAATCGCTTTGTGTCACAATGTTCATATGTATTGTGCATATAGACTAGTTTTGTAAATATTTTGTACAGAGTAAAGTGACGGACACAAATATACTGCTTTGCTTATATACGTATTTATTACAATTTGTAAATGCCGATCTTCAGCGTTCATTCAACTATTCAATAGTTTAATCTGTTTTGCCATTTGATATTTAATAGACTGACCCAAGAACTAAACATCGCCTAAGTTCACATTGCGTGCCCATACCCTCATCTAACATAGCAACCACGACTATGCAATTATTTAAATATTCAGACGGATTAGGAAGATATAAACATATCCATGCAACAACAAACAACCTCGAGATAAGGCGCATGCTGATTGGATAACGCATAACTAAGTCATTAATATTTATAAGAAATAACAATGACGCGCAATACCGATTCTGGATTGGTTAATTGTATTCTAACATCCATTTTTATTCACAAAAAATAACATGATTAACGATCCCAGCTTTTTGTTCTTTACCGTATAATCCTGTGGGGTAAGATTTGTCAATGTCATAATGTAGTTGGAAAACTAAGTCACGCAGACACTAGGACTTACTTATACTATGCATGTTCATGCACGATTCTTCTGATTGAATTTTTGTCAGTCTTATTCACGTCTTGACGCATACACGATGTGATATTGTATATGTACATGTAATCTATACTTCATTCTTATTAGGAGGGAATAGGGTTCTGAAAATATTGGGAAAGTATTTTGAAAGCATCATTTATGGTACAAGGTTTGAGGTGGGAGGGGCCTGTGGGACCGACACAAATGAATCATTTCTTCACAGTTTCCAACCTGCCATGAATTCTACCCCATCGTTCCCTTATGTTCCTAACATTTATTGGACTGGGCCGATCTCATATAGTAGCAGATTAATAATTGCTGATATATAAGTTCTTTCAACCTTCGTACGTGTTCAAAATCTGTATGACGCAATAGACATCCATAAGACTTGTTTTGCCTTTCAATGCGTGCTCAATATTCTCTCCTTATCACCTCCCCTGTTCCAATTACTATGATTACACAGGTCAGTTGACGCGAAGACGAGAAAGAATATGACACTAATTTAAGGGCTAAACTAGTTTTTCTCTTTCACTCTCAAGACTACTTCGATGGTCATTATTGAAATAAACATAGTTGGTAGAATGGTGCAGATATTTGTGTTGTTTGTTGCATGATAGTTGTACGATTCTTTATTCCCTCAAGACTAACTGAAATTACTTGATTTTGATTGGATAACAGGTTTAGATTTGTGATAATGTACTTTAGGCAAATCATAATAATACACTCCCAACACAAGGGAGGAGCTGCCGGTCGTTGCTATTTTGCGAAAAAGTCGGACAATAAATTATTTTGGACCTTTCCCGTCATTCACAACATTTAGATGTTTCAGTATTCACAGTGGGTTACGAAAAAATTATTGTTGTTATTTTTATATTATCACATTGTCACATTGCATATTATTTACAATTTAGTAACATTTAGTGTGAAATATCATTAATTATAATTTCCAACTAAACGTAACGAAGAGTGCACAGAGAAAACCAAATCGTGCACTGGTTTATTATTTAGATTGGATAACAACATTATTTGTGTGTTGCTATGACAGATCATATAATTAGCCAATGAAAGTTTATTTTGAAAAAAATAAATTGGCGAACCTAACTTGCAAATGCGTATATGATGCGTAAGCAAAGCACAATCGGGATTTCTCTGTCGTGTTGACGTTCGGGTCGTGCGATAAAAAGGCTGTAACTGGTTGATACTTGTGATGTCACGGGCTATATGATTTCCGTCGGTTCGTGGATAATAATAGCTCATGACGTCACTATTATCGGTTGATAACGAATAACGAATAACTGATAGCAGGTGATAACACATTAAATGGACAGTACCACTGAAACTGAGGAAATCCTATTTACAAATGTTTTATGAATTAAAACGCCCACTGTCCATTCTGAATCTTTACATTATGTGCATTATGAAACTTACACCACACTCAATATATCATGTTTATCTGGGCTTCCACAACCTAACTATTTGTGTATAATATATATATATATTATTTTTTTTTCAGTTTTAATAACTACGCCACTTGTACGCACTCTTGATGTACAAACTCTGCCCGAGGTGGAGGGACTACGACTGGGATCAGCGACTCTAAAATGTTCCTACGAAGAACCTGAAGATGACGCCCAGCATATCTCAAAAGTATGGACAATGATTTCAGAAGTCACGGGCGATGTCGAAGCAGTTTTCAGTCAGATTGACAACAAGAACGGTGAAGCGTTCGGACGCTATGCTGGGCGGGTGACTCTCACTGGGCCCCATGCAGACATCACCATATCTCGTCTGGAGCTCGTCGATTCCGGAATGTTCCAATGTGCTATTGATTTTTACATCGCGAGGGAAAGCGGCCATGGTGAAACATTAATGAAAGTATACAGTGAGTATCATCACTCTGTTCCCACGCAATTAAAAGCACCATAGTCGTAGCGCAGCGTACACAACTGTATGCTGTCTGTTTAAACGAAATTCGCTCGCACGCCGTACGACGTCAGTAATTTCCTTGATAAAATTATGCGTCAATAATGCTAGTGCGCGATGCACACACAGGCTTTATAGTTCATGGTATCAACAACATGTACTCGATATTTGCAACCTTCACACCACCTTCCAGTTGAGACCTTATGGGAATAGTGCACAAAATGACACAAAGAGAAAACTCAATCTTTGCTCTCTGGCGACAAATAAGCATTTTTTTTCATAAATAGGCTATAGATCTTTATCGAAACTCCAAGCTCGCCCCCTAGCTGTATTATGTCGAGGTATATGATATCGTATACAACTATTTTGTCTGCGTTTTACTGAGCAACATTACCGATTAAATTCTTGTGACAGCCTGTCACCACCCCCTTAGGAATGGGCGTAGGGACAACAATAAAAGGGACATTATGTTCAATGTTATCTACACTACCCCTTAAAGCAGGTTCGTATTTTCGAGAAACCAAGCCGAGCTCAATTGTCATGGACAAAGAAAAAAAAATTGCACTAATGTACTGTACGATGAAATATATATATATTTTTTAATTATTTGAAATTTCCTCTGGTAACATGAGATGTAAAAGTCATTCATTTCTATTGATATCAATGATAATACTCTTAAAACATTTCATCTAATCCCACTAATTTCATTGTTATTAGTGCAAATTAATATTATTCGTATAACCGTACGATACAAACTTACCAACAATTAAGAAAATTCAACGAAACACAATAGCATGATCAGTAGTACAACATTCGTATTCTGCGCGAACTGCTTTGAATCAAGTGTCATTCAGTGCAAATAATGTCAGTGCCTATGGTACCGATAAGCCGATGTAACGTAACTTGGATGCAAACTCTTGTTTTTCCTAACAGCTGTTGTAGAGGATGTCGACATTGTAGATCATGGTCGTGGTCAAGAATACATGGTTAAACCAGGAGTGGAACACGAGTTGCAATGCAAGGCTCTGAGAGGCCGCCCTGCTGCTAAACTCAACTGGTACTTGGGAGACACATTTTACGGCCAAGGGGAGGAGACCATTGTTGAAAACGAGGCCGAAGCTACTTACAACACCTATAGTTCCTATTTGGCCACATTCAGTGAGAACGACAATGGAAAGATCATGAAATGCCAATCTAACCAGGAACCGGAAATTGCGTCACAACACGTCAGTGACTATGTCACAATCAACACCAGTAAGTTTGATTATATTATAACTATCGTACAAACCGAAAAAAATAACTTAAAAATATATACGATATTTCTCATCAAAAAAATCATCTAAGCACTATCATGCAAACAACCGTGGCCATATATTATACTATTTTAGTGGACAATAACAAACAGGATTTAACCATACTTGCAGCACTATTTTTTATTGAGTGCAATCTCAAGTTTAAGGTCAATCAATAGTGCTGCAACGTCTGTATTTTGATTTATCACTAACTTTATTTTTTGTATAAATTTACAGGCGGGTCAGCGGTGCTGGAAGGAAGGACTTGGCACATTCTCTGCTCAATACTCATCAGTTCAATTTTATGGAAGTTTCGCTAGTCTGAACAACACGTCATTTTCTAACATTTTCTATAACTTTTTAACGATCGAATGAGTAATAGCTTTTACTGATATGCCCGCTTTTGACAGGGTTTATTTTGTTTTATGTTCATGTATGTAGAATTTTTTTTTCATTATTTTGTTTGACACTTTAGGCTATTGTTTCGTTAAGTTGCCACTCTAGCGGCGATAAAAATACCGGCCATGAATATAGTACATGTACATGAATCATTTATTAACACGTGGAATTTAATAAATTTGATATTGTAGGTACACGAATTTGATCTTCTGATTATCCTGTTACCCATTTCGCAGTTTAGGGATTGCAAACTAATACATGAGCGCGTACACAAAACATTGTAGAACATTTTGATTCATTTGCATAACTGACCGTCAATGAAAATAGATTCTCGTTAGTTCAACATCATGCGATTAAAAATATAGTTATGTTTGGATTCAACACAATAGTCACTGTTACGAATGCAATGGTAAATTGACTACTAATTTTGGCCGTTTCACAACTTGGCAAATCGTCACTAGTCATGGGTGTAACAAAGTTAGTAGGTGCACAGAAAAATGGAATGAAGTCTTATATGTATCCGGCTATATAATTTATAAACACAGGCGTTTCAACCAGCATCCCAAACAAGCTGAAACATTTGAGTTTATGTAATTCTTAATAATAGTTTAAGCAATATTTTTTGTCTTCAATAGTCCACCATGATGTCAAAAGGTCAATCTGCTTGCATGAACAAATCAAATGGGATTTTTGATTTATAATATTGAGATACAGAAAATTATTACACTGTTTTTTTTTTCTCCAAACTGCCTTGATATATTGATAAAACACGTTTATCCCTTTTCACAATTAATAAACATTTACTGAAGTTTCCCGGAGAGGTCTAATTATTTTTCATTTTCTTGTACAAATATTATATGCATAGCTATTTTAGCTAAATCGTAATAGTGTTTAAGTAAAATGACGTCACTAAAAATTACGTAATAAAGAAGTTTAAGTCGAACAAAAAAATGAGTAAACAAAAACTATTTTCAGCAAGATTTTGTAATGGTGACAAGCGATTATACGTCAGATGTGGTAATTAAACATTGCTTCATACTTTTTTGCTCTTTTTTAGTAATGTTGTTATTATTTGCACTTGACCGAGGCTTAGGCCAGACTTTTTTTATTCTTTGTTTCTTGAGTTTTTATAAGTCAATTTTTTTGAGGAGGGCGGAAAAAAATTAAATTAATTCTTTTTTTCCATTAGATTTGCGTAATTCTCAAAGAATTGTAAGTTAGAGCATTGATCGGAGAGAAAAAATGAAATAAAATTGTATTATATGTATAACCTGGTTTCTCATCTGCGCGGAGACTTCGGTATTTCAATCATGATACTCCCACGAAAATACAACTCAGGTTTGTTATGCGGTGGATGGAAAAAAATGAAGATAAAAATGAGTTTTTTTAGCAATTTTTTGCACTTACAAGTCGGCGGGCGCGAGAAATTACGCTGAAATAAAATTTCATTTTTATTTCATTTTTCGGCTCCTGTTCATTTGGCGGCGGGTTCGCGAAACAAGGGATAATAAAAGTCTGTTCTTACAGAAAAATAGTTCGATATGATAATAGCAAACATGAAATGACTTCGTGATGTGAGAGAATACATACATATATAACGGTGTTATAGGTCACTTGAACGGATGGATATGCCGAAAATAGTGCATTTGTCTTCTCTATGTATTTTGTTTATCAGGCAAACCAGTCTCAGCAGGTCAACGGTTGGGCTGAGACATAATTTTCGTTTAGTCTCTTAATTTGTGTATATGCACCAATAGTTGGCGCTATTAAACATTCGTTTTCAGGGTCTTTAAAATGAAAGTTTTTTTTATTTTTTGACGGATCAGCATAAACAGTCAGGTGGGTGACGAATTACGAATGCTTCATCCGTCAATTGTTGTGGTTGTTTTTTTCTTATTTTTTTAGTGAGGTAAACGTTCAGAAACCAAGCTGCCCATCTACGTCAAGAAACGGGCAATTTCATTGGCTGAGGCTCCAAGTCATTGTGGTCCATATTGTAATTTGCCTCGTACGCTTGTACACACATACGGGCAGCCGTGTAACGCTACAGTCTTCAAGCAACGAGCATTTGAATTTACGACGAATGTATCACCTTTATAAGTGACTAGATCATATACTGACTGGTGTCAGATTTATAAATGACCTACCGTCTTCTATATACATCGAATCGCGCACTTTTTTTTCATTTATTACATCTTTTGTAGCTTAAGTGCGGACATTGGATTGTTGGATTGTTTGTGTGTTTTTTATTTCCTCTTTTTGATAAATTTAACACTTCTTAGTATTTTTTTATATGCTTCATGAATTTAATTACACACAGTGGATATCCCAGCTTGAAATCTAGAACTTGGTAATTTAATAAAATGTTAAATTCAGAAAATGTTTTTTTTTTAGTGAAAACAGTTTGTGCATAATTACGTGTGTGTATGTGAACTTGAGTGTGCTTTTAGAAAAAATGTCCTATCTCCATTACAAAGAGATATGGCCAGTACCAGATAGATATGACCAGTACCAGATAGATACCACCAGCACCAGATAGATACCACTAGTACCAGATAGATATGACCAGTACCAAATAGATATGACCAGTACCAGATAGATATGACCAGTACCCGATAGATATGCCCATATACCCGATAGATATGCGTACTACCCGATAGATACTCCCTGTATCAGGTACATATGCTCTGTCCCTAATATATGTACCCTGTCTCAATATATATGCGCCAAATATATACTCCATGTACTGGTAGATAATCTTCGTACTAGATAGTTATGCTGCAGCGCCAGATAGATATGTTATGTACCCAATATATAACAATATGTACCAGATAAATATGCCCTGTACCGAATAGATATACCATGTACAAGATAAATGTGGTCTGTACCCAATAGATATGCCTTATTAATTATAGATATGCCCTATACCCATTAAATAGCTATAGGCCCTACATCGATATTTATTCCTTGTACCCATCAATGTTATATGTCAGATGTATATGTCATGTACCTAATAGATATGCCCTATACACGATAGATGTGCCCTGTATCAGATATATATGCCCTATACCCGATATATATGCCCTATATCAGATAGATATGCCCTATACCGATAGGTATGCCCTATACCCGAAAAATATGCCCTGTATCAGATAGATATGCCCTATACCCGATATATATGCCCTATATCAGATAGATATGCCCTATACCCGATAGATATGCCCTATACCCGATAGATATGCCCTGTATCAGATAGATATGCCCTATACCCGATAGATATGCCCTGTATCAGATAGATATGCCCTTTATCAGATAGATATGCCCTGTATCAGATAGATATGCCCTGTATCAGATAGATATGCCCTGTATCAGATAGATATGACCTGTATCAGATAGATATGCCCTATACCAGATAGATATGACCTGTATCAGATAAATATGCCCTATACCAGATAGATATGACCTGCATCCGATATATATGTGCTTTATATCCGATAGATATGCCCTGTACATATATATATGCCCTGTACCAAATAGATTGCAACCAATAGATAAGCCCAATAGCCAATAAATATGCCATGTCACCTGTGCATGCGTCAGTCTGCCGTAGCGTGTCGTTGTTTACAAACAAGCGTCTACCCATGAGCCTTTGCGTTTTTAGCGCGCGTTGTTATCGTCGCTTGGTACTCAATTCCCGCGCGTGCCCAGGTGACGACCCCTCCGCTTTAATATTTTGATATGTAAACAACCCGTTGATGCGAGTATCACCGTCGGGGTCTATAGAATAATTTTTCCCCTAAAATGCGGTTCCACTCTTTCTAGTCATCGCGTCCAGTGTTCCAAAAAATATGGTTACATAGGTAACATTGGAGTAAATGGTACACTATTTGAGGGCAAAAACAGGTTTGTGACTCCCTCGCCGGGGGGGGGGGTTCTTTCAAGCACAATGGCAGGGGTGTGAGCCCTAATTATATTTTTACTCCACCCACTTCCAGACCACTGTTTGTAGTATATATATACCCACTTCAAATCAACATGTTAGTATGATTTAATTACTGTTAAACGTATGCGCAGTGCCATACGATGATGTAATACAACATGTACATACAACAGATCAGAGGTCAAAAGACGTACAGTTCTATCCATTGCAAAACAAGAGTCGGCCAGAGACGGCTCCTAAATAACAGTTTTCAGTTTTCCCAAGATTTTCAAAAATTTTTGAAGATTTTTTGAAGCCTTTTGAGAAATCCAACTACCTTCTAGACCATTGGCGGATTTAGAGGGGCCGAGGGGCCGCGGCCCCCCTATTTTTAACAACCAACAGGGTTTCGCGCAATCGGCGCTCGCGAACTTGGCCTTCCACTTATCCACTTCTATAACAACTGGTGTGAAAAAGATACTCTACTGCTGTATAGGTTTACACGTTGCCTCGTTCCAAAATCTCGAATGTTTTGAAGGTCTAACTGTCATAACATTGAACACGAATAGTACGTACAACATACACTACATAGGCAATAATTCCAGAGTGGGCAAAGGGCATGTAAGGCTTATAATGACCAACATACACAATCCACACCTACAAATTAAATCAGTATATATCCCTATGGCAACACAAGGCTGCTGTAATATGAACAAGTACGACCAGCCAATCACAGCTACATCGCTAACGAGGACGATCACCGTGCGTCGATACGCCCTGCATGCTCTGTAGAGTAGGACTCGCTGCCACTCTGTGACTGGTATCATAGCGGATTATCGGTCGAATTACCGACTGCACTACCAGTCACAAAATGGCACAAACCGCGGGCACATATCGGAAGGAACCACGCATATTAAACAATGATGCATGTACGGGAACCCGACTCATCAGCCCCAGTGCATTTACTGGTTCAAACTGGATTTGACTGGTGCAGATTATTATAATGCTGCGTTTGTGTGAGTGAATGATGCATGGGGGCTAACATCTGTGAAGAGAGGCAGTGAACAATCGCCCTCATGATAAATCGATGTAATATTGCTAGGCACGGAGCATGGTGGACAAACAAATCACAACCCAGTTTATTCGTTATACACAAACCTGTATCGTATATACAATGACATGTACGTAGACTACAACTGGGACATTCCAGTGTGGATGTCAACGATAGATAACGGTCACGACTTGAACTCGTGGGAATATGACCTTTTATGTGTACATATGAGATGAACCTTGAACTATTAAAAGATAGCATAATAATGTGGTAGTTCATGACCGTAACTTAAAGTTGTTCAGCGGCGGTATATCCCCGCCCCTCCCGTCAGACAGGGTCAGATGTCCTGTTGTCGTCACTGTTGCCATCATCAAAGGGAATCCAAATGTTTTGTTTTCCATTTGGACTTACATGAGAGGCAATAAGTTACGCTCTCTAGCCACGAATGGCTTGTGACGTCAGCATTGCGTAGAAACGTATTTTATTCAGAGTATATTAAATTACAAACAAAAACAATATTTTTGGTTGATCATCGACCCCGGATCAAA